ATTATCTTGTCCTCCTCATTGTGATCTGCCTGCTGCTGTATTTATTCTTCCCGGTGTGTGGATCAGTAAAGTTTTATCTTATCTTATTTTATCTTATCTTATTTTATCTTCAGGTCCCTTAAACATCAGGGGCAGTTTCTGTTGACACCGGAAATGCCTCTACGAGCCTCCGCGGAGCTGTGTTACATGTAACACCGTCCGGTTCAGCCCGGCTCAGACTCAGAAGCAGCTTCCAGGTTCTCACGAGAAGTTTTTTGTTTTTCCACCGGTCATGATGCCTTCAGAAAGTTTACGGTGGAAAACTCTGGAGGCTTTGAGAAACTCCCCGAAGGGAAAGATCTCGTTCGACCCGCACCGGTGGGAGAGGGGCGAGGTGAGTTAGCATTCGGCTAATTCAGACATTAGCTTACACTGATGTTCATGTTAGCCAGGCTGAGCTAACAGGCTAACCCTGTTTATTTAGCTTTTATTCAACTAACTTCATTTATTAAACAGTTGTTTAACATTTTCAACTCAACCAGGAGCTTTTACAGTCACGTCACATCACAACAATTAGCTAAATGTACCGATACCGAAGCAGCTAGGTGGAAAACATTCAAGTATGTTTACTGCTGAACACAGTGTTTACGTGTCTCTGTCTTTACGGGTGAATTTAAAATGTATAACATCAATTAATAGATTCAAAGTTACAGTAAATAGAAGAGATAAGTCTCAATACATTTAGATATTAAACAGCTGAATACAATCTGAAACACAGACACTATAAAATAATGTCTATTAACCTGACATCCAGTTTAAAGAGATCTAATTTGTGTCATTTCAACATTTCCAGCTGCTCTTATCAGGACCAATACTGAAAAAACATCATTTTAAAACTGAAAGTTCAAGTTTTAATCGTGAACTTGGAAAAACGCGACAGTGTATTGAAAACTTAAATCGAGCAGAAGAAAGTTTTATGACCATGAATGAAACTCGCTTGTGTTATAACGTGTCTCCGTTCTTGTAGAAGATTCTGAGCGGCTATAAAGAGACCATCAGCTTGTCTCCTCAAGCTGGCCTCGTGTTGGAGCGTCTCGGCTCCTCGCCCCTGCAGACGTCCTGCTTCCTGGACTCCAGCTCTGGACACTCCAGCCCCGGCCTGTCTGAGCAGACCCCAGAGTCCATTGTGTCCAGTGAATCAGGCTCTGACATCAACGCTCAGACGCTACAAGTCGAGCGTGAGAAGGCGAGTCTGTCCGTCGGTTATTCAAGTCTGTTTTTTGTTGGATTCAAATATAACCTAAACAGGTTTTGAATCACACTCGTTGCAAATTCATCTTACTTTTAATTCAGTTCCTGAAATTTTACAACTTTCAACTTTGTCTCAAAAGCACACTTTGTTTTATTCCATGTGCGTCTGGTTATAACTTCTAACTCTGTCTTTCCCTCGTGTTGATATGCTGCAGGCTCTTAGTGATGAGGCAAAGGATGAAGATCCAGAGACAGATGAGATTTCCAGTCCTGCGCCTCCACCTGCCATTTCCCTGATGTCGCCCAAAGCCATGGAGATAATCGGCAGCATTATCAAGATAGAGAAGGAATATAGAGAAAAGGCCCAGGTCAGGCAAAGGGATTTTTTTTGGGTTTTTCCAACCTGCTGTATTTAATGTTTCTGACAGAAAACACAGGAACAATAACCCTGATATTCAACTGGTTGTTGTCTTAAATCTGTCTCTCAGATGGCCCTCAGACAGCGACAGGAGATGCAGGAAATGTTTGTGGCAGAGTTGGTGAGTTCAGGGTCGGAGCAGCTGAAACGCTTCGAAGAGTTCACGGAGCTGAAGCAGCGGCAGGATTTCCAGAGCATAAGAGACATGATGGACAGAGAGTAAGAGCCAACAGCCAGCATTGTGTTTCACTCATGTCATTTCTGAAACGTTACGTGTGATCAAAAACGGTCGGGTTGTTGTTCTCTCTGCTCTGTAGAACCAAAGAGAGCATCGGGCGACAAGAGAAGCTGAAAGAAGAGCAACGACACAGAATGAAGGTTTGATCAGCTTTTTAAAGATCTCGAAACTCTGTGAAGTCTGGTGTTCAAATCCTGTGTTTGTCAAGAACCTTGTTTTAGAAAATCTGACTCCATTTTTGTTAAAATTATGCTTTAAAAAGCTTCACGTCATCAATCGTTCCTAAAATATTTCCCTCTTGTGGATTATCTGAATGACATCTCCTGACTCTCTTAAACTTTGAGATGAGTTTCAAGTTATTTTATAAATTGATGAAATGCTTTTAGTTGTCGTCCTTAGTTAAGTTGTAGATGCGGCCCGTTCATTTTCTTCATTGTCCTCAGATCCTGAACCTGCGACTGAGGGAGGCAGAGCAGCAGCGTGTGCGCGAGGCCGAGCTGGAGCGACAGCGGCAGGCGGAGGGCAGGGAGAGGTTACGGAACCTCAACACCATCCAGGAGGAGATCCTGCAGCTCAACCAGCTGCTGGAGCCGTCCTCCCAGACTAAGAGTGATCTCCCTGCGGCCAGCCTCAGCTCCTACAGCATCCGCGGGAACCAGCTGTGCTCGCAGGTGTCGGAGGTGGTGAGAAAGACGGCAGAGGTCAGTTTTACTCCCGATTGTTTAAGTTCAGGTTCGGATCATTGTTCCTTCCTATGCTGACAAGGAAAAAATCTGGAGAGAAATGGGAGATTTTTACATAATCTGTACAAGCAGGTTAAATTTAGTCAAGATGTGCAAACAAACTCCTTTTGTTATTCTACAATTCAGTTGAAATCTTATTTTATTATCTTTAATTCCAGTTCAAGATCCGCTTCAGTTGAAGATACCTTTAACTTACCTTTAAGATACATTAAGTTTGAACTTGAGAATGAAGTGGATGACGGTGAAGACGAAGTTGCTTTTTGAATAAACTGCTGGAAAGGGTAAATTAAACGATTGATAAAACTGTGTTTCCTTTTCTTACCGCGTCTCTCCCTCCAGGGGGCGTTTCCCAGCGTGGAGGACATGACTGCGGCTGAACGAGCCCTCCACGAGATGAGGGCGCTGATTCGGCTGATGCAGGAGGAGGTTGCTAAGGTCCAGGAACATAAAAAAGGGGAGGAGGAGGCGCTCAGGAAGCAGGCGGAGCTGCAGGTGCAGCAGGAGGCGCAGAGGAAGGCGGCGCAGTTGGCCAAAGAGAAGGCACGGAGGAAAGGTGAGAGGGAGCAGGAAGAGTTACAACGGTGGTTGGTTCATAATATTTACTTAAGAATTAAAGCTGCAGCAAGAGGTGGTGTGAGTCTCTCACCCTCGTAGAGTGTTGATGTGATGATATAACAGTTCAGTGTAAACCTCTTCCCACAGGGCTGCAGAACAGCGCTGAAGACAGTACGTTAAAATGGTACAAGGATCTTCAGGATTCAGGGGCTCAGTGCGCTCAGTCGTTCACACAACTCAACTCCCCTAAAGACGCTCAGGTGGGTTCGTCTTCTCTGCATCAGTGCTTGTAATTTCCCAGCATGAATGAATAGATGAATAACAACAACAGTCTTGTCATAAAAGACGATCAGACGAAAAACTGCAGGAGGATACAGACTCACACTTGTTTGAATCATTACCATTCATTTCCAGATAGTGGGTTGAGGTGGTGAACGCCAACATCTGGTGTCAGTGACGTCATTTGGAGCCACAATGTTAAACTCTGGTGTAGCAAGAAACAAAGCACAATATTTTTTGCCACCTAGCATCGTCTGTATGTTCAGGACCTGAGGGCGGAGCTCTGTTCATACCTGGTTTTCTCTCTTCTCTCAAAACAGACGAAGAAGCTGAAGCTGGAGCTCCAGAAAGCCGCCACCATCCCCATCAGTCAAATCGCCAGCAACTCCGGCTCGCAGCTCCGAGAAATCTTCGAGAAGATCGATAAGCTTCTGGCGGGGCGGTCCGTGGTGTCGGGGGGGAGGTCTGTCTCCACCTCCCAGCATCCACAGGGCCTGGAGTTCGTCAGCTACAAACTGGCCGAGAAGTTTGTGGTGAGTCCGTCCAGTCGTCACAGGAACATCTTAAAATTCACCTTCACAGGAGTTTACACCATCTTCTGAGTTGGTCACTTTCACACCACAAACCAAATAAACACTTTAAATCCTCTGGACAGAAACAAGGAGAGGAGGAGGTGGCGTCTCACCACGAAGCGGCCTTCCCCATCGCCGTGGTGGCCTCTGGCATCTGGGAGCTGCACCCACAGGTGGGCGACCTCATCCTCGCTCACCTGCACAAGAAATGTCCGTACGCAGTCCCACATTACCCCCCGATGAAGGACGGTACAACTGTGGAGGAATATCAGAAGTGAGTGACTCAGAAACATCCCTCCACTCCAGTGTGTAAAGTTTTTCCCGCTCAGATTTTGACGTCAGGTGTTTTCACGTCCTCAGGATTCTTGGTTACCGTGTGGAAGACTCCGGGATTGAAAGTCAGGACAGTTTCCTGAAGAGGATGTCTGGGATGATCCGTCTGTACGCTGCCGTGATTCAGCTGCGGTGGCCCTACGGCTCCAAGCAGGGGGTAAAAACATTCGACAATCAAAAGTGACAGCAGCTCGGCTAAAGTAACACAAGTCAGGGATGATCAACAATAAGATGAGAATCGAACCAAAAGCTCAGGTCTAGAAAATGTTTGAACCTCACCTGTGCAAACAGCCACATGTGTTTCATGTGGTTGTCCTTTAAATCACATCTCCACAAAGTTAGTTTCTCTCGTTGCAGGACTCTCGCCTGTACAGGATTGTAACTTGTTATCTGTTGTGATTCAGTCCGCTCCTCATGGCCTGAACCACGGCTGGCGTTGGTTGTCTCAGATGCTCAACATGGAGCCTCTGGCCGACATCACGGCGACGCTGCTGTTTGACTTTCTGGAGGTGAGTCTCCTTCTCAACGCTGCTGGTTCACGTGTGAAGGATTCTTTTTAAAAATCTTTCATCCATACATTTCTCTTTATTGTATTTTAGTTTTTTCTGTATTTTTAATTTACATTTAACGTCTTTAATTTTCTTTATTTGCCTCGTGTGTGTCAGCCCTCGAGTAAAATGTCAGAGTGAGCTCATGTAAGAATACAGCAGGAAAATGTCTGGAAAAAATTCACAGGCGAGCGAGTTGGTGTGTTGGCGCTACGAGCTTTTGGTGATGATGTTCGCTGTCAGTCTGGATTTTCCGTAAAACAAAAACCTGTGTTTTCCACAGCAGGATTTAAACATCATCTCCTGCCTCCTGCTGCTCTGCTCAGGCTCCAGCCCTCCCTCGAATGTTCTAGACATTTTCCTGTTGCGTTTTTTTTATATATGAGAAAAACAAACTGTGGAAAATGGCTTCAGTTCGTTTTCTTTCTTCAGGTTGTTTTAGTTCATCAGTGTGATTCATGCAGGTTGATTCGGTCTTTTAAACCCTGAGAATCATGAAGTGACTCTCGAAGCCTCATCCGTGTCTGTTTGAAAAGCTGTAGATGGAACTGAAGCCGCTCTGGTGCTGATGTTTGTCTCTCTCAGGTTTGTGGGAACGCTTTAATGAAGCAATACCAGAGCCAGTTCTGGAAACTCATCCTGCTGCTCAAAGAGGAATACTTCCCCAGGTACACAACACGTTCCCTCTGGATTTAAAACGTTGGCTGCACTGGCACAGATTAACAGCAGCTGTCAACAAAGGTCTGAACTCTGAAATGTGTCTGCAGGATCGAGGCGGTGACCAGCACTGGTCAGATGGGCTCAGTCATCAGACTCAAACAGTTTCTCGAGGTAAGATAGTCTCCGCTCATGTTAGACGAAAGAACAACGATGAGTCTGGACACTTCTTCTGAAACATTGATCGTGTGGAGTCAGAAGCTTTATTCACATTCTTCTAAGCAGCACATTGAGATGAGCTGGTTGACTTGTTGACTGTAAAACCTTGTGTCCCTCACACAGACATCGCTGCAGAGAGGAGAGATCAAACCTCCCAAAGGTCAACTGAGCTCCACGTTCTGGAGGTCGTGAGGTGGAGGAGATTTGAACTGAACGAGAGGAGACGAGCTCCGAGCGATGCTCAGAAACCTCTGTGCTGCTGAGGAGTCGCTCGTCACTATCTATCAAAGCTTCTGCGTCTCCGCTGCCATTTACCGGACGCCTTCTAGAGCCAATCGGGAGGAGGCTGATGCATGACGATGCTCGCTCGCTTGTGCAGCTTTGAAACTGGCTGAAGATGAGATGTTTCAACCAGACGTGTGAAATAACAGATCACTGGACATTTTTTTAATTCTGTCTGGCCCTCGTCCATTTTTGTTTTTTTAGGGTTAAAAAAAAATTGTCAGGAAAATGTATTTCTGCTGCCGCATATGATCGATAGAAATCTACCAAACACTAACATTCTCTTCCTTTGTTCAAGTGAAACTCTGCACATCTGTGTTTAGAAACTATCGTTGTTAGCAGCTAATGCGATTTATTTTGTGTTTACAGAATACGACACTGGCACTAATCGTGTTGCTGCTGAACCTTGATCTTTATTCCATCGTAAATGTGGTCGAGTTGTTATGTGGTATGTAAATTAAACACACAGCCCCAGCTTTCCTTTTTTATTATTGTATCTTTTTCCAGCTCTGCACACTGAGTTGGTCTTAATTGTTCAATCAGACGTGAATCTGCAGCCGACACGTTTGCAAAGTGAAGACATTCAAACTACCAGGTCACCACAGAGAAGCTCAGCCTATTGATTCCTCACTGCCAGACTGATCCTGTGTCAGTTCCACAGACTAAAGAAATCATCTGAAATAAATACAGGGAGACGACAAAACTACTGAACAAAGAAGAAAATCAGAAAAATCAGTTTTATAATTAAAATCGATTGAGCTCGAACTGAAAACAAAATTCCTAATGGTCGTCTTTTTAAACGTTTCCTCAGACTGAGCTTCTCTTAATGAGGACGAACAGTTTTCAACTCTTCTTTTCAGAAGAGTTTGAGAGTTAATGTTTATGACGAGGAAAATCTGGAGAAATGAAAATGGATTTGTGCGGCAGAGAGATGTTTTGTTCCATAAATATTACGAGGGGAAAAAAACAAACGGTTCCCAAATCACATCAGGAGCAAATCGATTTTTTTCAGAAACCAATCAAGGCCTGGAAACGTAAAAATCATTTCATCATCAGTTTCTTCCTCAGAAATATAATTGACTCACTCCTTCACGTGTAATCTGACTTCATTGTGTTCGTTAAGTGCCTTCAAATAGCAGAAATAGGTTTCTTAACGTGGCAGTTCCAACCGTTCACCACTAGAGGTCACAGATGTCCTTAAGTGAACAATGGTTCCGTCTCAAATTAAACATGTGATGACACAGATTTCTCAGGTGTGATGTCTTTATCTACTCCTTCTTACAAATCATCAGGTTTAAATTCGCGTGTGTCGAGCAGGAAATGGTAAAAGGCGGCAGCGACCGCTCTCTCACGCAGCTGAAGCAGGACTCGTCACTCCCGGGACGCTGGTCAACGTTCATTTTGTTTTTGTTAAAGAGGCTGGAAGCCGCCTCGGCGTCTCAGCTTCAGTTTCGACCCCCGTGGTTGAGCGTCTCTCTCTCCATGTGTCTGTACCAGTGTTTGACTTTGGTGTTCTTCATCATGTCGTCAAACGCCTGCAGGCCCTCCATCACTCTGAGGACGCCGAACACCGCCTGCACACAGGAACGAGGGAAAACTTCAGAAGACAGGATGTGGCATCACCCACTCGTTTGTAATCAGTAATCTCCAAATACTCTGGAGCTGCGGTTGTGTCCTCTCACCAGGTCTGCCAGGTTGGGATGATCTCCACCCATGAACTTCCTCTTCTTGCCGATGGCCGCCACCCAGTCGTTGACGGCCTTGTACAGATCCTGCCGGACGTCGTCCTGCAGGTTGTGTCTGTCGGGTTGAGAAGTTTTTAAATACTTGAAAGAATCAAACTGAGAAAATCTGTTCCGACGTGATTCCTTCATGTTTCACTCACCGACTCTTCAGCCTCTTGGCGATGAGGAACATGGCCGCAGCGCCGACGTATTTGGCAAAGAAACCTTCAAAATTGCCAAACTTGCCCTCGCGCACGATGTAGTCGAAGGAGGCCAGGGCCTCGCCGGTGGTTCGGTACACATTCGGAGAGATGAGGTGCACGAGCCAATCGTCAGCCCACTGGCGCCACTTCATCTCCTCTCTGGAAACAGGATTAGAAAATGTTAACAATTCACAGACACGCTGATCTCCGCAGTGAAGAGTTTACATCTAAGACACGATCGGTCAACTGAGTTCGAAGTTTCAACACTCACAGAATTTTAATCGAGACATCCGCGTGCGTGGACTTACTTCTGCATCCCCTTCTCAGGGTAAATGTCGGTGATCTCAGCTTCGCCCAGCATCAGCCAGTACTTGTTGAGGTACTCCGTCACCTCCTTTCCGCTGTCGTTCACCGACTTCATCTCCGGGTAACAGCGAAGGATGTCAGATATACTTTTGTCCCTGGACGACAAAACAAAGTCACATTTAAAACATCTGTGTTTGACTCTGAAACTGTTTTTCAGGCAGACAGTTTGGTTTTATTCACCTGAGCAAGGGAGGAAATGTGAGAAGCGGTTTATCAGAATCACTAGTTACATCACATGTCATTCGGCGAACGCAATAAGCGCAGTCAACATCTATGATCTATCGGCTTCTTGCCCGAGGGCGCTTCAGAATGCAGGCTGAGGTTCGAACTGCTGACCCTCTGGTTGGAGGACGACCGCTCGACTCCCTCAGCCGCACATTAGTTAGTTTTTTTTGTCAAATAAATGAAATTCAATTAAAATCCAGAGGTGGTTTTAAGGTCAAATATGTAAATTCTCATTGAATCATATAAAAATGATGATTATTCTGAGAGAACAGAATTTTAACACAAACTCACTGGCTGATTAAATACGTCCTGATGGAGCTGATGATGACGGACGAGTCGTTCAGTTGCTGCAGCAAAAGAAAAAAACGCATTATTGAGGATTTCACTGAAAAAGTTGGTTCTGGTTTGACTCCAGTTTAAAGCTTTTCAACCAACAGAGATATTCAGGAAACATTTCTCTGACCACGTCATCCGCCACCATCAGGATGGGCACCTTCCTGTAGGTCGACCACTTCAGCTCCTTCCTCATCACCGGGTTCACCTCCACGATCTCGTACGGCAGCCCGTAGAAGTCGAGGAACGCTCGCACCTTGCTGCAGAAGGGACACGTCTTGTACTGGTACAGAGTCAACTTCAGACCTGCAGCTGGAGCCTGGAGCAGGAAACACAGTCGTTATTCTCACGTTTCGTTCAGCTGCTCGGAGCCGAGAGGTTAGAAAATAAAAAAACCGAGCGATGACTTAAAAAAAAAAAAAGAGGAAACAGCTGAAACAGCAATACATTGTAAATACTCAAACACATTATTCAGATATGTGATGTCTTTATATCACATATTCTATGTACAAATACACAACTAAGTATCTGTCTGACGGTTCATGTACATACATGTAACATGTATGTAACATGTATGTATGTATGTGTAACCAGTGATTTATAAAACATAAAGCAGTGAAGTTCATCCATCTTCAAACATATAACTAATATAATAGTGTCCCTCCTGTCTCAACTGTCTCCCCTGACCATCTCTCTCTCACCTCTGTCCTACCTGTCTGTCTGTCTCACCTCTCTCTCCCCTGTCCTCTCTGCTCCTCCTGTCTCACCTCTGTCCTCCCTACTCCTCCTGTCTGTCTCACCTCTCTCTCCCCTGTCTCACCTCTGTCCTCCCTACTCCTCCTGTCTCTCTCACCTCTGTCCTCTCTGCTCCTCCTGTCTCTCCCCTGTCTCACCTCTGTCCTCCCTGTTCCCCACCTCTGTCCCCTCTCTCCCCTGCCCTGCCTGTCCCCCCTGTCTCTCTCCCCTGTCTCACAGCTGGGACTCACCTTGGTGTCCCCCTGGGCCAGGTGTTGTTGGACAGACATCTTCACAGACTGATAGAGACCCAGACCTCCACCGAGCAGGAAGGCGCAGCCCAGCGCTCTGCCTCCTGCTCCCCGCAGGGAGAGCAGCTTGGACCGGAACCCGGAGCCGCCGGTACCGAACGACCTCCGGGACCCGAATGAGCTCAAGTTCCCCGCCAGAGAGGAGACGGTGCCGGGCCGGCGGACCCCCGGAGACTCCAGCAGGGACCAGCCGACCTTACCCAGTGTTCTGGTGCAGAGGGCCGCCATGTTGGGTTTACATAAAGTCCCACAATGCACCGGGAGGAATACTATAAAGAGCGCCTGTTCCCTGAGTTCAGTCTGTCAGGCTCGGTGCTGCCCCCAGTGCCGTACAGAGGAAAAACCTTCGGGAAGGATGTGAGGGGGCTGCAACAGGGATGGGCCCCCTCATGTAATGCACCCATCAGAACGTGAGGGGGCCAATCAGGTGAAGATGAAACCACCAAGAGACAAAAAACAACAACCACAAAGAACATGTAGAGTAATCACTGACAGAGAATGATCACAAATAATATAACAAGGAAAAGAAAAATGAAGACAAGAATTGCAATATCAGAATCAGAAGTACTTTATTAATCCCCGTAGGCAAATTAAAATGTTACAGAGCCCCCGAGAGAGAGGTGAAACAGCAGAAGCAGGTAAACACAGCAATATAAAATATAAAATCAAGTAAGGCTAAAATAAATAAAGATATACATGTGTAGAAGTAAAGACCGGGTATTTATAGATTTACACTTGTGCATGAGTAAAG